GTAAGATATGTTACCAAGTCTTCTTGCTTTAGCATATAGGCCCAGGAGACCTTCAACATTGTCTTTTCGTTTGACATTTTCTTTTTTTTTTTTTTTTTTTTTTTTTTTTTTTTTTTTACTTGTTTCAGTTTTTTTTTTTTTTTAACTGTTTTTTTTTTTTTCACTGGGATTTCATCTGTATTTGTCTAATTATTGTTCACTCATTTATTTATTCTTTCTCTCTTTTATAGTCCCTGCTCGGGCGCCATTGTGACGACGTGTTTTCACTTTGAAGCTGGGGTAGGTTCAGCGGGGGCCAGAGTCGTCACAAAAATTTATTTGTTAGGACATAAAGAGAGAGAGAGAGCGAAGCAAAAATATTTTCTTAAAACGTTATAAATTTATTTCCTTAAATAACACTAAACACTACACTAAACACAATAAAATCACGTTCAGAACTTTTTACGAAGAACACTAAATCACAAAGTTCAGTCGACATGTTAATAAACGGGTAGCAGTGGTGGCAGCTTGGCACAGCGGCGGCCCGATGAATAGGCGAGCGACGAATAGAGTGGCGGCAGCTTGGCACAGCGGCGGCCCGATGAATAGGCGAGCGACGAATAGGGTGGCGGCGGCTTTGGCACAGCGGCGGCCCGATGAATAGGCGAGCGACGAATAGGGTGGCGGCGGCTGTGGCACAGCGGCGGCCCGATGAATACGTCAGCGGCGAGTAGTAGTGGCGGCAGCTTGGCACAGCGGCGGCCCGATGAATAGGCGAGCGACGAATAGGGTGGCGGCGGCTTTGGCACAGCGGCGGCCCGATGAATAGGCGAGCGGCGAATAGGATGGCGGCGGCTTTGGCACAGCGGCGGCCCGATGAATACGTCAGCGGCGAGTAGTAGTGGTGGCAGCTTGGCACAGCGGCGGCCCGATGAATACTCGCACGACGAATCGGGTGGCGGCAGCTTTGGCACAGCAGCAGCCCGATGAGTACGTCAGTCGCCGTCAACGCAGCCCGAAGAATAGGGAGTATTGCTACAACCCTCACTTGACCCTGCGTTCAGTCGCCGTCAACGCAGCCCGAAGAATAGGGAGTATTGCTACAACCCTCACTTGACCCTGCGTTCAGTCGCCGTCAACGCAGCCCGAAGAATAGGGAGTATTGCTACAACCCTCACTTGACCCTGCGTTCAGTCGCCGTCAACGCAGCCCGAAGAATAGGGAGTATTGCTACAGCCCTCACTTGACCCTGCGTTCAGTCGCCGTCAACGCAGCCCGAAGAATAGGGAGTATTGCTACAACCCTCACTTGACCCTGCGTTCAGTCGCCGTCAACGCAGCCCGAAGAATAGGGAGTATTGCTACAGCCCTCACTTGACCCTGCGTTCAGTCGCCGTCAACGCAGCCCGAAGAATAGGGAGTATTGCTACAACCCTCACTTGACCCTGCGTTCAGTCCAGTCCAGTCACCACAAATAGTCAAGGCTTATTGTTTGGCTTACTAAGACTCAATTCAACCGAGGTTGCGCGCCTTTTCTTCCTCCCAATCACACTTGACTTACCAGCCATCAACAGAAGACTGATCCCGATTGGGTGAAATGCGTCTCCTTTTATACCTTTTTGGCTGGACAACGATTGTTGTTTTCTCATGACAGCAGCTGATCCCAATCTGACAGTTTTGCGTAGTTCCGCCATTTGCCACCAGGGGTTCCAATGTTGTATTTTAAGTATACTTCTTTCTACTAGGGGACAATAATAATGTACCCCAAAAACGAAAGCATGACTTTTGGGCGTTACAGTTGCCTTCTAATATTCTCTCCTCTCCAGCACTCTCTGGGAGATGTCATATTAAAATTCCATAAAAAACCTCCAACTATGTGACACTCTTCCTTTGTTTAGGCCTGTAATGAAGGCCGCCGGTTTTAGGCAAATATTTATTAACATTTCCATCACTTTGGGCTTCCTAGCTTTCTTCTATCTCCCTTTCTCCTTTCTCTTAGCGAGTAAGGCATTTCATTAAAATCCAATCATTTCCCCAACTATCCTTAGCATATATCCTTGCTTTGTAAGAAGAAGATGTTGGCATTCTGAAGCATTGCAGAGGGATTACTCCAGCCTGCTAACCGAGCAGAAGCATAAAATCCAACATAAATACATCTATGAGACATTAAAAAGACATTTCCTAATTATATAAAAATGGAGAGACTTTGTTTAACTAAAATGTATAAAAAACTTACCCAAGTAATAAAATGCTGAACTGCAAGAAGACGGAGAAGAAAAAGAAAAAACATCACAAATAATGTGCCAAAGATAATAAAAAGCTGAAAGTGAGAAAAACTTATGTAAATACCAGAGGCAAGACACAATCCCTTTACTTTTTTCTTTGGAGCGGAGAAGGGGCTAGCAGCTCCATTTAGTTTAGCTTGCCATGACAATGCCAGTAAATTGTATTTTATTTGCTCGAGGACCGGCGAGTTGTATGCGAGGACGAGAGATGAGAGAGTAAGAAGCTCACTCGGAATGTAGATGTGTGTGTGTGGTTTAATAAGGGAATTTGTAAGTGGCTGGCTGCCTGCAATTGAGTATGACTTGTGGAATAATTCTGCCAAGAGGCTGTTGTGTTATGGCCAAAGTCAAAGGAAAGGAAACTACAACGCAAGAGCCAGAACTAAATGTAAATTAAATGCAATAAAGCTTTCGTTTACATTTTAGTCGTCGTTGTCGTTTTACTGTCAGATAAAATAATGCACTTAAAGAAAATAATTTTATTAAGACCGATAACAGAATCTTATTGCAGAACATTTGTGACAACATTTGCTGTAGAATTGTTACATCCTTTTTTTATCGATAACAATTATTTTGTAAGAATTTTTATAGAAAACTACTTCGATGACAACATTTCTTTATAGAAATGCTGTTCGATAGCAGCTTTAATAGCAACATTTTCCGCAGTAATATTAATCGATAACGACGATAACTTAATCAATAATAACATTTTCCATAAACAAAACTGGCCGATAACAATAATTTCCATCGAAAATGCAATCTATAATCGAATTTTCTGTATAAAAGTTGATCGATTACAACATTTTTTATCGGAAAGTTGTTCGATGGCAAAATTTTCTATAGAAAAGTTTATCGATGACAACATTTTCCATGGGAAAGTTGTTCGATAACTACGTTTTTTATAGAAAAGTTGTTCTATAACTACGTTTTTTTATAGAAAAGTTGTTCGATAACAACATTTTCTATAGAAAAGTTGTTCGATAATAACATTTTCTATTGAAAAGTTGTTCGATAACAAGATTTTCTTTAGAAAAGTTGTTCGATAACAAGATTCTCTATAGAAAAGTTGTTCAATAAAAAGATTTTCTATAGAAAATATGTTCGACAACAACATTTTCTATAGAAAAGTTAACCGATAACAACATTTTCTATAGAAAAGTTAACCGATAACGACATTTTCTATAGAAAAGTTAACCGATAACAACATTTTCTATAGATAAGTTGATCGAAAACAACATTTTCTATAGAAAAGTTTTTCGATAACAACATTTACTATAGAACAGTTGTTCGATAACAACATTTTCTATAGAAAAGTTATTCGATAACAAAATTTTCTATAGAAAAGTTGTTCGATAACAAAATTTGCTATAGAAAAGTTGTTCGATAACAACATTTTCTATAGAAAAGTTGTTCGATAACAACATTTTCTATAGAAAAGTTGTTCGATAACAACATTTTCTATAGAAACTTGTTCGTTAACAACATTTTCTATAGAAAAGTTGTTCGATAACAACATTTGCTATTGAAAAGTTGTTCGATAACAGCATTTGCTATTGAAAAATTGTTCGATAACAACATTTTCTATTGAAAAGTTGTTTGATAACCACATTTTCTTTCGAAAAGTTGTTCGATAACAACATTTTCTTTAAAAAAGTCATCAATACGAATATTTTTCACATCCGAGTTCATCGATAACAATATGTTTTATAGGAAAGCTTATCGATAGCGATATTTTCTGTAAGTTTATCCATAATTTATTGATCTATAGCAACAATTTTTAAACAAAATTTTGAAAATTGATTTCGATAAAAAAATAGAAGAGTTGATCGATAACAAATTTCCGATAATCGATAACAACTTTTTCTGTAGAGACTTTTGATGATAGAAATGTTTTATAGCAAATTTATCGAAATTATTTTTTATAATCGATAATAGCCTTTTTTAGAACAAAAAATGATTAAGAACAATGTTTTTCATAGAAAATGTGATCGATAGCAACTTCTTCTGTTAAAAAAAAAACCGATAACAATATTTTTTAAAAATAATTTATGTCATTATTCCATTCGAAATTTTCCTCCATGTACCATTTGTATTTAGAATAAAATACTGCGTAACTTGTTCTTAATGCAGTAACTGGGTGCAGGACGACTCCTCTAACTATATTATGGGTGTGGACAAGATGTATAATTTTTTTTCCTACGTATAAATTTCATTGTAATAATGCCACTTTAAGTCAGAACAATTGTCTGAATTTGTTTTGTTATGATAAATGTTCAGAGTAGCCGTCGTTGTTCGTTATTCCAGAATTTAATTATTTTTTTGCGAACCTTAAAAGCAACTACAGCAACAACAACGATGGCAGTCAGAAGGAGTAGGGAAGCCAAATGCATGGCAATAAAATGCTCTATTGAGCGCGGAAAAATGAATTTAATTAAGCTTGGTAATTGAATTGGGAATTGGCGCCGAAGGAATGTTCAAATGCGCATGCTGGAAGGGTATTAGAAATTAAAAAAATAATAATAATTTTAATAAACTTGAAATTATAATTTAAAGGAAATATCAAATAAATTTTACAATTTTTAATTTTAAATAAAAAAGTGATATGTAAATCGTAGTTTAACACTCATTTCCTTTTTTATCGAAACTTATCGATAATTTATTATATCTGGTATTTTATATTTATATTCTTTTATTTAAAATCGTTAACTAATTTCAAATCTTTTTTCTGCCCTTTCAGAAAATGCGTCAATTCCAAAAAGTCTTGGAAGACTTAAGTTCCCGCATCGCTTCCGCCGAGGCGACCAAAAATGCCTGGGTTGTACCGGCCACCAGTGCCGAGGCCAGCGAACAATTGCAACATTTACAACGATTACGTGATAAGATGACAACTGCCGGTGCCCTGCTCGATGACTGCAATGAACAGCAATCGTTCTTTACAGCCAATCAAGTGATGGTGCCAGCAAATTGTCTCTCGAAATTGGAAGATTTGAATACAAGGTATGTCTGAGAAAAAAAAAAACCAAAAATGTTTACAAAAATCTTGTCCGATAACTAGATTTTCTAAAGGAAACTTTTTCGATAACAAAGATTTCCACTGAAAACAAGATCCATGGCATGACTTTCCTTAAACATCTAGCTATATAACAATATTTTTTATAGAAATGTGTTCAATAGGACGAATTTTTATTATCTAAGTCGATAACGAGATTTTCTGTAGAAATCGACCACAATAAGAAATCGATTACAATATTTTTTTCTATAGTTTTCAATAGAAAATTTTGTCGATAACAAGATTTTTTTATGGAAAACTTGGTCGATAAGAAGATTTTCTATAGAAAACTGAGTCGATAACAAGATTTTCTATAGAAAACTGGGTAGATAACAAGATTTTCTATAGAAAATCTGGTTATCGACCAAATCTGGTTATCGACCAAATTTTCTATAGAAAATCTTGTTATCGACCCAGTTTTCTATAGATAATCTTGTTATCGACCCAGTTTTCTATAGAAAATCTTCTTATCGACCAAGTTTTCCATAAACAAATCTTGTTATCGACCAAATTTTCTTTGAAAACTATAGGAAAAATTTGGTCGATAACCAGATTTTCTATAGAAAACTTGGACGATAACCAGATTTTCTATAAAGAATTTGGTCGATAACCACATTTTCACTATAAAAATTGGTCGATAACCAGATTTTCACTAGAAAACTTGGTCGATAACAAAAATTTCTATAAAGAACTTGATCGATAACCAGATTATAAATAGAAAACTTGGTCGATAAGAAGAATTTTATAGAAAACTTGGTCGATAACAATATTTTCTATAGAAAAATTGTCCGATAGCAATATTTTCTATAGAAAAATTGTCCGATAGCAATATTTTCTATAGAAAAATTGTCCGATAACAATATTTTCTATAGAAAAATTGTCCGATAACAATATTTTCTATAGAAAAATTGTCCGATAACAATATTTTCTATTGAAAAATTGTCCGATAACAATATTTTCTATTGAAAAATTGTCCGATAACAATATTTTCTATAGAAAAATTGTCCGATAACAATATTTTCTATAGAAAAATTGTCCGATAACAATATTTTCTATAGAAAAATTGTCCGATAACAATATTTTCTATAGAAAATTTGTCCGATAACAATATTTTCTACAGAAAAGTTGTTCGATAACAACCTTTTCCATAGAAAAGATGTTCGATAACTACCTTTTCCATAGAAAAGTTGTTCGATAACAACCTTTTCCATAGAGAATTTGTCCGATAACAATATTTTCTATAGTAAAGTTGTAGGATAACAACCTTTTCTCTAGAAAATTTGTCCGATAACAACCATTTCTATAGAAAAGTTGTCCGATAACAACCTTTTCTATAGAAAAGTTGTCCGATAACAACCTTTTCTATAGAAAAGTTGTCCGATAACAACCTTTTCTATATAAAAGTTGTCTGATAACAATCTTTTATATAGAAAAGTTGTCCGATAACAACCTTTTCTATAGAAAAGTTGTCCGATAACAACCTTTTCTATAGAAAAGTTGTCCGATAACAACCTTTTCTATAGAAAAGTTGTCCGATAACAACCTTTTCTACAGAAAAGTTGTCCGATAACAACCTTTTCTATAGAAAAGTTGTCCGATAACAACCTTTTCTATAGAAAAGTTGTCCGATAACAACCTTTTCTATAGAAAAGTTGTCCGATAACAACCTTTTCTATAGAAAAGTTGTCCGATAGCAACCTTTTCTATAGAAAAGTTGTCCGATAGCAACCTTTTCCATAAAAACTGGTTCGATAACAAGATTTGGTCGATTTTCTATAGAAAACTTGGACGATAACCAGATTTTCTATGGAAAACTTGGTCGATAACAAGATTTTCTATAGAAAACTTGGTCGATAACCAGATTTTCTATAGAAAAATTGGTCGATAACCAATTTCTATAGAAAAGTTGCTGACAAACTTTTCTATAGAAAAGTTGCCCGTTTCGACTTTTCTTTAGAAAGGTTTCCGATAAGAACTTTTTTCATTGAAAAGAAGTCCGATAAAAACTTTTTTTTATAGAAAAGTTGTCCGATAACAACCTATTCCATAGAATAGTTGTCCGATAGCAATCTTTTTTATAGAAAAGTTTTCCAATAACACCCTTTTCCATAGAAAAGATGTGCGATTACAACTTTTTTTTAGAAAAGTAGTCCGATAACAACCTTTTCCATAGAAAAGTTGTCCGATAACAACTTTTTCTATCTAAAAGTTGTACGATAACAACTTTTTCTATAAAAATTCTATATGATAGCAACATTTTCTAAAAATGTCGTCCGATAACAACCTGCAAGAAAGTCATCGAAGTTGTCCAATAATTTTTGTAGGTTCTGGAACAGAGCAATTAATTTGTATTTTTTATTTTTTTATTTATTTATTTATTAATTTATTTATTTATTTATTTTTTTTTTTTTTTTTTTTTTTTGTAGAATGAAATTGCTACACATTGCCATGGACGAACGCCAGAAGGTTCTGTTGAATGCTGGTGGTAATCAAAATATGGAAAATGGTGAAGATGGTCGTTTGACATCGAACAGTGGCACAATTGGACCAATACCAAATCTGGGACAGAGTGTTAACCCGCCATGGGAGAGAGCAACCACAGCTTCCAATGTGCCTTATTACATCGAGTGAGTACAACTCATTCTCATCAATAAAGCTCTCTTTTACATATTTTTTCTCTCATTCTCTCTAACTCTCTTTTCAGTCACGAACGTGAAACCACCCACTGGGATCATCCCGACATGATCGAGCTGATGAAGAGTTTAGCCGATCTAAATGAAATCCGTTTCTCAGCCTATCGCACAGCCATGAAGTTACGGTCGGTACAAAAATCTCTAGCTTTGGATCGCATACCCATGGCAGCGGCCATTGAATCGTTCGATCGCCACGGTCTAAGGGCACAAAATGATAAATTAATCGATATACCCGATATGACAACGGTGCTGCATTCGTTGTACGTGACGCTGGATAAGATCGATTTAACCAAATTATTGGATTTGGCCATCAATTGGATATTGAATGTTTACGATTCGCAGCGTACCGGACAGATAAGAGTATTAAGTTTTAAGGTAAGCCAGAGAGGCGTGAGTGAGGTGTTAGAGATGGAAGAGATTTAATTTTTGTTGTGTCATTTTCTATTTTGTCAAATCCAAGGTGGGCTTGGTGCTATTGTGTCGTGGCCATTTGGAGGAGAAATATCGTTATCTATTCCGTTTAATTGCCGATCCTGAACGTAAAATTGATCAACGTAAATTGGGCTTGCTATTGCACGATTGTATTCAGGTAAGAAATGTTTGATAATGTTATTAATTTGTTTAAGTTGGAATTATAATGTATGTTTTGTTGTTGTTGCTTTTTTTGTAATTGCAGGTACCTCGCCAATTGGGAGAAGTAGCTGCTTTTGGTGGCTCAAATATTGAGCCATCGGTGCGTTCCTGCTTAGAGAGAGCTGGTATTTCTCAAGAAGGTAAGAAGGGAAATTTTTTATTGTTCAAAATTAGTTACCTATGAGATTTTTTAGTCATTTATTTATTATTTATTAATTTTTTTATAATTATTATTATTTTGATGGTTAATATTTTAAAAGAGAAAACTATGAAAATATAGTTAAGTGACGTAAAATTGGTAAAAATGTCAAAACTTAATGACATAACTAACTTCTGCTAAAAAGCAAACGGTTTTTGGGGGAAAGTCCTTAAATTTTTGTCTAGGAAAAAAAAAACAGTAGATAAATAGAAAACAGTAGGAAAATATACCATTTTTGATGGCGCCCAAATGCAAATTCTTTCGGGATTTAATACCGTACCTTTGAGGACTTGAAGAGAGGGGCTGGCTGTGGCCGAGAAAAGCTCAGCCCTTACAAAATCAACGTGGGGATCCACAAACCTCCTAAAAAGGATTGATAGCAATTTTCCTTGACGAAAAAAGCCTAGTTAGGACGTCAGGGCTCACTCAACGTAGTGTCGTCCAAAAATCTGAGTGCATTTGAAAACAGGATCTGCAGCTCAAAATCAAAGCTTTTATGAAGAAAAAATGTCACACGAAAATTTTGTAAGACAAATATTTTTCATCTCAAATTTCGATAAAAAAAGGACCTCGCCTCAGGATACTGTCAATTCTTTCCCCTTGGAAAATCAAATCATCGATAGTTTTGTACTTCCTAAGTATTATTCTTTTCATCCCTAAAAAAATTAAATTAAGACATTTCCGCTTCAAATTCCTTGGTCTCTTCTTCTTGTTGGGCGCCATACCAAACCAGAGCCGAAAGGTTGACTGACTGAGAATCAACTCCCAGATCAAACGGCTGAAGCTACAATCTTGAAATTTTGCATGAGATTCAGTCTTGGTCTGTAGGTGTGTGATAAGGCTGAGTTTTTGGGAATTCATACTAAAAGGGTACGATGAGTACTAAAATGTACTTAAAATTGAATACATTGTATTGAACAAACGAGCTAGAATGAATGCGTTGAAATTTAGAATAAGAGTCTCTGATGGAGTGCAGGATATATGTATCAATGAACTTATGGTATTTCGAACTTTGAAATTACGAAAAGTCCTATAATGGTACTAAACTTTTTAATTGGTACCATTTGGTATTATTTGAATGAATAGAGCTAAACACTGAAGGTTGGAAAGAAAGTTTGATACATGCTGATAGTAATGGTACTAAGTTTGCAACTTTTTGGTTAAGGGTGATCGGATGAAGCTGAAATTTTGTATTTGTCCCTGGTCAACTACAAGTGCAAGAAAAGCGCTAAATAGTACTATATATGGTACAATTTGGTATTGGATGAAAAGATAGTGCTTGAAATCTAAAGTGGTTCTACATTTTAGGTATTACTGAAGCGAGAGGGATAAAATTCTGGAATTTGATATTTAGATTAATGATGGTATCTATGTTTGAAAAATGTTGGTAGTTTGGAAATACGTCCCATACCAGTGCGTAAAGTACTTACTTTAGTATTGGGTGAAAGGATAGGACTGGAATCCTCAAATTTGATATTTAGCTTTCTTTTGGTATCTGTAGTAAAGATATGGAGATAGCTTTGAAAATATGTGCTATAATTGTACGAAAAGTACTAAATAGTACTCAATTGCGTAAAATTCTGAAATTTAATATTTGGACTACTGATGGTGTCTGTGTTTGAGATTTGGCGGTAGTTGGGAAATACGTCTCATATTTATACGATGAGTACTAAACGGTACTTATTTTAGTATTGGGTGAAGGAATAGAGCTGAAATCCTCAAATTTGATATTGAGGCCTCTGTTGGTGTCTAGAATATAGATTTGGAGGTAGTTTAGGTAAGTAAAAAAGTTGTAAGTTCGGCCGGGCCGAACTTGGAATTCACTCCACCATTTGGTACAAATTTGGAAATCCAAAAAAATAAAATCCATTAAAAATCTTGTTAAAATCTTAAAAATACCGAATGTAGCCGTGTATTAGGGTATATAAGACGACGTGGACCTTCATAGGCAAATTTTGTCAGAAGCTATTATAATATTAAAATGCTTAACTTGAAAAAAAATCTGTTTATAATGTAGCTAAAATAAATAAAATACCGAATATAGGGAGATACCATACGTGGACCTGCAAAGACAGTTTTCTGACATAGGCTGTATTATCCATTACGACCTTCAAATACCAAATTTGAAACAATTCCGGTAAATAATGTCGCTAAAATCATCAAAATACCGAATATCGTATGTGGGCTACACGAAGACGTGGACCTGCACAGACAATCTCCTGTCATATGCTGTAGTATCCATTACGAAATTCAAATACCAAATTTGAAACAATTCCGGTAAATAGTGTCGCTAAAATCATCAAAATACTGAATATCGGGGGTACCGTTATATGGGGGCTATACGAAGACGTGGACCTACAAAGCCCATACCAAAAGTCCTGCAGACATAATACACATTTTGGTAAATTTTTATCAACTACTTCATTTCGTTCGGAAGCTAGAGTAATTTCCACAGACGGACGGACATTGATTAATCGACATAGAATTTTATGCTGATCAAGATTATATATACTTTGTGGGGTCTAAAATGTATATTTCGAAGTGTTACAAACGGAATGACAAACTTAATACACCCTCCATACTATGGTGGAGGGTAGAAAAATGTGAAAAAATGTGTGCTTTTGTACGCTTGTAAACAATATAATGAGCTGTCACTGGAAAAATTTTAAAAGCTATCGGACGAGTGGCTAACTGATTACAGCAGCCTGTATATAAAACCTCGAAAGTCTGAACATTTGGTACGATTTTTGAAGTTTTTAACACAAAAACTGTTAAAAGAGTAGCTAAGTTCGACCGAACCGAAATTTTATTTCCCTCCACCATTTGGAAAGAACTTGAAAATATCAAAAAAAAATCCGTCGAAAACAATCCGTTATATGCGTCCTATACCAAAACGAAATACCGAAAATGTGGCCAAATATAGCTTTTTTTCAATACCAATCAGCCTGCATATAGTATAAATATTTGTGGCAAATTTCAAAACTCTAAATTAATTAATGTGGATTCTATGGCGATTTCAACACACAGACGGAAAGACAGGCAGACATTGCTTAATCGATTTATAATTTTATTCAGATCAAGAATATTTATACTTTGTGGGATTTTCGACGAATATTTAGAGTTGTTGCAAACGGAATGACAAATTTATTTTATTTTTTTCTTTGTATAAAAAGTTATCCAATAAATAATCGATTACCTCAAGACTTTAAATAAACCTGAATTGGTTCTTAAAGAGGCCTTAATATCTACTCCATTCCCAAAAAACCAAAAATCGCCTGCCTTTTCCCTTAATTTTTATACCCTACACCACAAGGTGGTCAGGGTATTATGTCTTTGTGCATTTGTTTGTAACAGGCAGAAGGAAACGAGATAGACCCATAGTTCCATTTGATGATCTGCATAGAATCACATTCTGAGTCGATTTATGCATGTCCGTCCGTCCGTCCGTCTGTCCATGTATTTTTGTAAACAAAGTACAGGTCGCATTTATTGCCCGATCCAGATTAAATTTTGCACAGATCATTTTCTTGGCCCAAGAAGACGAACCCTATTGAATTTGGAGATAATCGGTCAAAATTTAGATATAGCTCCCATATATATCTTCGTCCGATTTAGCTTTTATTGTGCACCAAACGTGTAATGTCAGCCCGAATTGTATGGAATTTTGCATATACACCCAAATTAGGCCTGAAAATAAGTATGCGAAATTTGATCGAAATCGGTTCAGATATAGCTATAGCTCCCATATATATTGTTCATCCGATTTGTTATTTTTGTCCTCCGCAGCCGTAATATGCACTCTGCAACAACAATATTTGGGGAAATATATCAAATGCAGCTCAGAAATACCTTTGCTAAATTTTATCGAGATCGGTTCAGATTTGGATGTATCTCCCATATATAACTTCGTCCGATTTACCTTTTATTGTGCACCAAACGTCTAATATTTGTCTAAATGGGATGGAATTTAGCACTTACGACAGAATTGAGTGAAGAAGCTAGTATGTCAAATTTGATCGAAATCGGTTCAGATATAGCTATAACTCCCATATATATTGTTCATCCGATTTGTTATTTTTGTCCTCCACAGCCGTAATATGCACTCCGTAACAACGATATTCAGGGAAATCTATCAAATACAGTTCAGAAATATCTTTGCCAAATTTAATCGAAATCGGTTCCGATTTGGATATAGCTCCCATATATATCTTTATCCGATTTCAAATTAATTGTGCACCAATTGGGCAATACCAGTCCGAATTTAAAAGATACAAATGCTTCGGCATATTTAGTCCTTTGAACTTTAAATTATAATTATAATCATAGCGTGTATGATTGAATTGTCCCATAAAAAATTTTAATTGTTATGCGGAGCTCTACTAAATTAGCAAAGTGGTGTAGGGTATCATATTAAGACTTCCTTTACTGGTTTATTTAAATATTTACCTTAAATAAACCGGTCAAGTTGTCTGCCTGTGTCTGGTAACTTACTTTTCAAAATAAAGTTTACAATTAAAAATTCTTCCCCTCCCCTCCTCATCCTCCCACCACCATTCGACGAGACCTTTTCTTTTACTTAATTAAAAATGCATTTGGTTACCGTTCTTTTCATTTGCATACATAATTTACATAAATGACTTTGAAGTAAATCTACTGCATATACATATTTATTTAAGAGTGTGGCAGATCTGGCATGCATGCCCCATAAAAATGGGATGTCTGGCAAACTATTTTTAAGTTGATCCAAGTATTTTTAGCATTTCTCGTTATCATGTCAGTTAACACATTGACACTAATTACAATTTAAACATTTCTTCCTTTTTTTCTGCTTTTATTTACCTGCCCTGGGCCTGGCATCACACACACAAACCATCTCTCTCTCTTTCTGGTACATCCATGCAGCAATTGATTCCAATCAAGAACTTTCGATTGAATTACATCACTTCCTGGCTTGGTTACAGCACGAACCACAAAGTTTAGTTTGGCTACCGGTATTGCATCGTTTGGCAGCTGCTGAAAGTGCTAAACATCAGGTAAGAGCAAGAAAAGTTTTCTTTGCATTAAGCCAGCCAAGGGAGGGCCACCATGTATGAACTCTGCTGGCCAGTTGGCTGTTCTACCTGGCACTGGGCAACTTGGCACTTAATTAACACTTGAGCTGCTGTTGTCTATGAGGATGTTAAATATGTGTTTTTCATATGCTCTTAGCTAATGTTTGTTTTAACTCTTTTCCTCTCTCCCACACACACACACTCTCTCTCTCTCCCTCTCTCTCACATTCTAGGCCAAATGTAACATATGCAAAGAGTATCCAATTGTTGGCTTCCGTTATCGTTGCCTTAAGTGCTTCAATTTTGACATGTGCCAAAAGTGTTTCTTCTTTGGACGTAATGCCAAAAATCATAAACTAAGTCATCCCATGCATGAATACTGTACAACGGTAAGTGAGGGGCTGTCGGAATATTGGCAAAGGGAAATGGAAACTTATTTTTTGGGGGGTTTTATTTTTGCAGACCACATCCACAGAAGATGTACGAGATTTCACCCGAGCCTTGAAGAACAAATTCAAGTCACGCAAATATTTCAAGAAACATCCCAGGGTGGGTTATTTGCCGGTGCAAAGTGTATTGGAGGGTGATGCCCTGGAGAGTCCAGCTCCGAGTCCCCAGCATACCACCCATACGCTACAAAATGATATGCACTCAAGACTGGAAATGTATGCCACACGTTTGGCCCAGGTGGAATATGGTGGTGGCACTGGGTCCAATTCCACACCCGATAGTGATGATGAACATCAGCTGATTGCTCAATATTGTATGGCATTGCCAACAAATAATGGTGCTGCTCCCAAGTCTCCGGTACAAGTTATGGCCGCCATGGATGCTGAACAGAGAGAAGAATTGGAGGCCATAATCCGGGATTTGGAGGAAGAGAATTCCAATCTACAGGCCGAGTATCAACAGCTGATGACCAAACAGCAAAGTACCACACCCGATGATGCAACCGGCATGCAACATTCCAATTCATCGGTGGGTGGTTTGGCGGCAAGTGGCAATGCCCAGGGAGAACATGGACAGGTGAGAAAAAGAAAATTCTCTCAAATTAAATAAATTCTCAATTCTTCTTCTCTTTTTTCTCACAGGACATGATGGCCGAAGCCAAGCTACTGCGTCAACACAAAGGCCGTCTGGAGGCCCGCATGCAAATCCTTGAGGATCACAATCGCCAGCTTGAGGCCCAGCTACAACGTTTGCGCCAACTGCTCGATGAACCCAACAATGGTGGCACCGTTAGCACACCCGGCTCGGCCTTGAATTCCAAACCGAATACCTTGCAAACACGTTCGGTAACCGCTTCACAATTGAATACCGACTCACCGGCCAAGATGAATCAACAAAATGGCCATTATGACCAGAACACAAGTGAGTAATAATGACCCTCCCTAAAATATAACAAAATTGTTATTTTTCTCTTTTTGCTTTGGAAAAAAAAAAAAACAAGATTCCATAATAATTGCCTTGGAATTTAATAAAATCTATGAAAATATCAACAAGCTAATGAATCCCTGAATATGGATTACCCACTACGCAGCAAGCGAGCAACAAAAACAAACGTTATCATCACTTTTCACTGTTGCCATATCATTGCAGTGGCATTAACTATTTTACAGTGTTGCCATCGCCATAAATTTTTGTTTGAAGGGGTAAAAACCACTATTTTTTGCGATCATAAGCGATTCATACTTCGCAAAATCATAATAAAAAATATGCCTGATTTCAGTCATTTGGAAACATGTCTTTTTTCACTCAGTGAAAAAAAAAAACATTTTTGTTTCCGAACGTTTTACATGCCCTCTCATAGATTGTCATTCAAAATTCCAGTATTTTTCATTTATTGTCCGAAAAATATCTGTGTGATAGTTTTGAAAGCATTTGCATGGCTTGTTTGTTTCTGGTTGATAATCATCCATTAATTTTATGTTAATTTTTTACACAAATTCAATATCAAAATATACGTTTTAGGATATCTTACCAACAAATAAAAGCGTTCCGCTAAATCAGCTGATTACGGATATGGCATACTTAATCATAAATAATTGATATTTATCGTAAATTGTCTGCTACACAAAAATTTTGGAAAAGTGAGCGAGTCGAGAGGGAATATTTCACAGTTCTTTCAATTGCTGGACAAAATGGCGAACAAATTGTTGTGTTTTGACAAATCAGCTGATTGCTTGCACATTTTTTAATTGTTTCTTCCTGATTACATTTCAATTTTTTTTGCGAAAGAGATAAATTGCTGCCTTGCTCTCTCAGAAAGAAGTTGTTGGGCAACTCCTGCAGTCCACCTAGTTCATTTTTAGTTCACTTAGTTCCATTTTCTAATTAATTTTTTCAGTATCTTTTGTCTTACGTCTGGAGTTGTTTCGATCCGTAAAGAACTAATTCAAATGGAGTCAAAGACTTAAAATGGTAAAGACTAGACAAAATGCATTCTGAACAAATGGTTTGTGTCTAGACTGTGTAGAAAAACAGCTCATGACAGAGCGTTGCCATATTTTCATTCTGTCTTGTCCTATCTTTACAGTTCTATGTCTTTAATGGAGTATTCCGGGTTCTATCATTTATATAGTTCCTTTAGCGCATCGTCTTCCATTGGTGTCGTTTTGGAAGGAACTAGTTCAAGGGAAAATTCAACAAAAGGGACTATCGTAATTATATTTAACTATTTAATTTCACCAATTACATTTGCCCACCTAATTTCTTTAGCATACCTAGAAAAATCTTCTTGTCTTACATCTGAAATTTTGTCATTCTGGATCGAGCTAGTTTAAGTGGAATAATCTAGGAGAAGGTAGATGGAAACTTTAGTTTTATTTCGGAACGACCTAATTCATAAATCGTTAATTTTTCTAGTTCCTTTTTCCCCATATAGTTTCTTTATAACCTAAGTTAATTCTTCTTGTTGATAATCATCCATTAATTTTCTGTTAATTTTTTACACAAATTCAATATCAAAATATACGTTTTAGGTTATCTTACCAACAAATAAAAGCGTTCCACTAAATCAGCTGATTACGGATATGGCATACTTAAACATAAATAATTGATATATATCGTAAATTGTCTGCTACAAAAAATTGCGGAAAAGTGAGCGAGTCGAGAGGGAATATTTCACAGTTCTTTAAATTGCTGGACAAAATGGCGAACAAATTGTTGTGTTTTGACAAATCAGCTGATTGCTTAATTGTTTCTTCCTGTTTACATTTCAAATTTTTTTGCGACAGAGATAAATTACCGCCTTGCTCTCTCAGAAAGAAGTTGTTGGGCAACTCCTGTAGTTCACCTAGTTCATTTTTAGTTCACTTAGTTCCATTTTCTAATTAATTTTTTCAGTATCTTTTGTCTTACGTCTGGAGTTGTTTCGATCCGTAAAGAACTAATTCAAATGGAGTCAAAGACTTAAAATGGTAAAGACTAGACAAAATGCATTCTGAACAAATAGTTTGTGTTTTGACTGTGAAGAAAAACAGCTCATGACAGAGCGTTGCCATATTTTTATTCTGTCTTGTCCTATCTTTACACTTCTATGTCATTGATGGAATATTCCGGGCTTTATCATTTATATAGTTCCTTTAGCGCATCGTCTTCCATTGGTGTCGTTTTGGAAGGAACTAGTTCATGGGAAAATTCAACAAAAGGGACTATCGTAATTATATTTAACTATTTAATTTCACCAATTACATTTGCCCACCTAGTTTCTTTAGCATACCTTGTCTTACATCTGAAATTTTGTCATTCTGGATCGAGCTAGTTTAAATGAAATAATCTAGGAGAAGGTCGATGGAAACTTTATTTTTATTTCGGAACGACCTAATTCATAAATCGTTAATTTTTCTGGTTCCTTTTCTCCACATAGTTTCTTTCTAACCTAAGTTAATTCTTCTAGTTATTTTGTCTCAGAAAGAAGTTGTTGGGCAACTCCTGCAGGAAAACAATTAGTTGGTATGACCATTTGGTTCTTCTAGTTACTTTAGTTCACCTAGTTCATTTTTTTTTTTTTTTTTTGGTGTTTGATGTTATTTTCTCTTACCTCTGGAATTGATTCGATAGGGAAAGAACTTATTAAAAAGGAGTATTCCGTGATTTTCCATTCATATAGTTCATCTTGTTTCTTTTGCGTCGTTTAAGAATAAACTGGTTCATAGAAAAAAATTCAACAAAAAGAACTATCGGAATTGTACTTAACTAAATACTTTTGTCCATCTATTTTATTTGGTATACCTAGAAGTCTTAGAGACTCCCTGTCTTGCATCTGAAATTGTATCGACCTGGAACGAAATAGTTCAAATTAATAATTCTACGGAACGACCTAATTCAAAAATCATTCGTTCTTCTAGTTCCATTTGCCCACCTAGTTTCTTTATGCACTAAGTTAATTATTCTAGTTATATTGTTTCAGAAAGAAGTTGTTGGGCAATTCCGACAGGAAAACAATTTGCATATACGATCATTTGGTTTATCTAGTTCCTTTAGTTCTCCTAGTTCATTTTTAGTTGATTATTTCAGTTCTTTTGCCTTACCTCTGTAGTTTTTAAACCGTAAATGTATAATTCATGTTGAGTTCGTGGTCTTTCATTCATCTAGTTCCTTTAGTTCACATAAAGAGATAAATAAGAGATATTCAACAAACGATCGGAACTATACTCAGCTATTTCATTTCTCTAAGTACTTTGCCCAACAGGTTTCTATAGTATACCTAGAAATGTCTTCTTGTCTTGCATCGACCTGAAATGAGAAACTTTAGTGCTTTCTTAATTCTTCTTGTTCTTTTGTCTTATCTCTGGATTTGTGCCAATCTGGCAAGAACTAGTTCAATGCAACATTCCGTGAAAGGAACGATCGATACAATTTCTATCGCTTTTCTTCATGTAATTCTTTTGGTTTGTCCTTGCTGTAGCTAGTTCCTACAGTTAATCAACTTGTTTGCCTTATCTCAATACTAAAATAATTGATTTTCGTATTAACCTTGAATTTTTTAATTCTATCAATGGAATTACCTCCATCCGAAGGGAACTAGTCCAAATGAACTACTATTCAGTGAAAGGAACGACTTAAACTATACTCAGCTATTTCGATCCTTTAATTATATTTGGGCAACCAGTTCCTCCAGGATTGTGTCTATCTGGATCGACTAGTTCACATAAACTATTCCATGAAAACAACATTAATTCAAATCAACTATTCCACAATAGGAACCACCAAAACTATAACCAGGGGATTGAAAATATGTCATGAAAAATATTTTCTTTATTACATTTTTTAATCTCCTTACTTTATATATCTTGATTGAACTAGTTCAAAATAAATATTCAGTGAAAGTGATACTGGTTCAAATCAAATATTCAACGAAAGGAGTTAACGAAAAGTTCCTTCATCTAATTCCATTAGGGGAACCAGTTCCTTCTGAGTTGTGTCGATTTTGTTCATTCAACAAATTTTTACTCGATTACAGCTACACGTAACGTACGGACATATTATCGGAATTTTATTTATTTTTTTTAATACAGATATTCACTTTAAACGGATAGCTTCTGGATCAACTTTTTATATACCAAGAAAGCCATCCAGAACGTTGTCATAAATTTTCCAAAATATTTAAATTTTAAGAAGGTCTTGTTGAGTCACTTTTTAATAGGTAAAAGCGTTCTACAACAATCAGCTCTTTGAGAGCATGACACTTGATTAGTGGCTTACGTGTCGGGTAGTAACAATATCTACATTTTGATTTTTATATCCAAAATCCTTTGAAAATTGAATTCATTAGATTAGTTTTCTTTACTTTTTTTATCAAATATTTTTGGTCCGATTTTTTATACAAAAAAGCGTTTTACAAGAATCAGCTGATTGACAAATGGGTACTATATTAAAACTTAATTTTACATGTTTAAAATAAAAGCACGATTTTCGATCGACACAAATTTCTCCTGGTGGTTATAATGCTACGCGCCAGAATGTAGATGGACACAATGCAAATCTTATAAAAGGTATCACAAGATAGGGGATTTAACAGATGAAGCTTGTCAAAACCATTGTGGGTATATTTTTTACCAATGTTTTACATGCTTATTCACTAAAAACGTTCCATATGTATGTACTTTAATTAATCTTTGTGTCGACCTATGCGGAAAGCGTTTTACAGAAATCAGCTGTTAAGTATTGGTATTTCTCTTTGGGTAATATTTCTTTTGAAAGATCGTATATCTCAGTTATAGAGTAGTTTTTCCTTAGAATATAATTTTTTCTGAACAACTCCTCTAATTCCTTCGTTTATGCAAATGCTGCATTTGAAAGAGTTGGCGCCCAAGCGGCTTATACATTAAACAGCTGATAAATAAAAAACAAAACATGATTAGAGGTTA